AAAAACAAAAACAAGCAATCAAGGGAGCAGAGATAGGGGAAGATCAAGGCCAGGCCACATGGAAACCACCAAGGAGCCAAGGACCAGATGCTGAAAAGAGACAAGGACCTTCCTTCCCCCAGAGCCCACAGAGAGAAAGCCTTCTCCTAGAGCTAGTTTCCCCAATTCCAACTTCTGACCTTCTAAACGGTGAGAAAATAAATCTCTGTTTGTTAAAGCCAGCCACTTGTGGCATTTCTGCTGTCGCCATGCTGGAGAACTAAGACACCTGCCGCCATGGATGAAATGTTCATTTGGGGGGTGGGGCATGACCACATTTACAGTATTCATTAACTGAACGACATCACACATTTACAGCATTCATTAACTGAAAGACATCAGTTTCTGAAAAATCAGAATGTAGGGGGAACACTGGAGAACTATAGCCGAGTCTCCCCAACAGATTCTAACTTGACCCCCTTTTCAGATGGAGTATTCAAAGATGTCTGCTTTGGGGAAGGGCATTGTAGGCAGGTGGAGGTGGGAAAGAGGGGGTAAGGAGGTGCCAGGCCTTGGGAATCCAGGGAAACACAGACCTGGATCCTCTGGGTCTTCTTGTGCATCATCTCCATGTCGTTGTTGAGCTCTGTGACGTAGGTGAACCGAGCAAAGTTCTTCTCCTCCTTGGCCAGGAATTCTTTGATGAGCTCGTTCAGGTTCCCATTCTCAGACAGCTTGAGCAGCCGGAGGTGGGCTACCTCGTAGCTTTCGAAACTCTCCCCCTTGCTCTTCTTCCCATATTTCTTTACTTTGAGAGCTAGAAAAGGAAAACCCAGTCACAGTATGAAACTGCAGCTGCTCAGATCAGTATCAAGCGGATGGTGGTGGTGGTTGTGTGCTATGACTCATTGCGACACTGTATAGGATTTCCAAAGCTGGAAACCTCCACTTTCTCCTGAGGAGTGTCTGATGGACTCGAACTGCTGACTTTATGGTTAGCAGCCCAATGTATACCTACTACACCACCGGAGCTTGGTGCCAGACAAATTGTTTTTGTTATTAAGTACTATCGAGTCCATTCAAACTCAAGGCAACCCTGTATAGGATTTCAGAGGAGGGACTGGTAAGCTTGAACCACTGACTTTGTGGCTAGTAGCCCAGTGCTTATCCTACAACGTCACATCATCTAAATAACATGCCTTGGATAAGGGGCTAGAATCTTCCATGGGACAGGGGAGAAGCTTTGCTTGTCTATTCACTGCACAAATCTAATTAAGCATTTCTTATATACACCAAGTAAGGAGGCCTGGTGACATCGTGGTTAAGATTTGGGCTGCTAATCTCACTGTCAGCAGTTCGAAATTACCAGTCATTCCATGGGAGAAAGATGCGGCTCTTTGTTCCTGTAAAGATTCACAGCCCCGGAAACCCCATATAGGATCGCTATGAGTTGGCACCAACTCCACGGCACAGAACCACCACCATCACCATATATACCAAGCAGGAGTCCTGATGTTGCAACAATCTTGTGCTTGTCAACTAACAGAAAGTTTGGTAGTTTGAACCCTCCCAGCATCTCCAAGGGAGAAAGATCTGGTGATCTGCTCTCATGAGGCCTCCAACCCAAACCCATTACCACGGAGTCGATTTTGACTTATAGCAACCCCATAGGATAGGGTTTCCAGGAGTCCTGGTATGACACTGTAGGATAAGCACTAGAGTGCTAAATGCAAGGTCAGTGGTTCAAACTCACCAGCCATGCCTCAGAAGTGGCTGTAACTCGGAACCAACTAGGTGTCACGTAACAACAACAAAAGATTGGTTCCAACTACCAACCTTTTGGTCATGCTGTAAGTCAAAACAGACTCAGTGGCAACTAACAACAACACATACCAGATGTTGTTAAGTGCCATCGAGATGGTTTTGACTCATAACAACCCTGCATAGGGTTTCCGCGGAGCAGCTAGTGAGTTTGAAGCTCCGACTTGCGGTCCAGTGCTTGTGGTCCTATAGAATCACACCAGGACTTCGTACCAGGTAAGCTGAGTGAAAGAGAAGGGTGGGGGCCTGGAGAGCACACCTTCCTCCTTTTTGCTTTGCTCCTCAAACTCTGAGCGATCGTTCAGCTTGATGAGCAGGAAGGACTTGAGCTTGTGCTCGTGGGCATAGATACGCTCCAGTTCACGGATCTCCAGGTTGTACTGAGAGATGTCCTTCTGCTGCCGGTCCTTCAGAGCAGCCATACGGGCCATGGCTTCCAGCCTGCGTAACGGGACACAGGATCTCAGTGTCCTGCCATCTCCCTTTCCCCCCTCTCCCTGTCAGACCAGAAAGACATCCTACCTGGCCAAGGCCACCACTTCCTTTTGTTTATTTTTAACCCCCTTTCCTCTGGTAACCACTAATATTTGTCTCAGTGGATATTCTTAGCCTGGATATTTTATATAGTCAGATCATATGATATTTCTCCATTTGTTTCTAATTCATTTCACTTGAGAGTTCTTGGGTGGTGCACACAGTTAAGCACTTGACGATTTGCTGGGAAGTTGGCGATTCAAGTCTACCCAGAGACGTCTCGAAAGCCAAGCCTGGTGACCTGGCCCCTCGGGACCATAGTTCCACTCTGCACACAGCAGTCCAAACTGATTTGATGGTAAAGAGCAACACCAATTTTACTCAACACGTTTTCAAGGTTCACGCATGTCATGTAGCAGGTATGAGAAGCTCATTTCCCTTCATGGGTGAGTAAAGTACCCTTGAAAGGATAGACCACATTTTGATTATCTATTCATTGGCTCTGGAGTCCTGGTGTGGCACTGTGGGTTAATGCACCAGACTGCAAAGTCATTTGAACGGCAAGGTTGGCAGTTCAAGCTCAACAGCCGCTCCTTGGAATCCCTGTACAGGGTCGTTATGGGTCGGAACCAACTCGACAGCACTTCACAACAACAACATTCATTGGCTAGCAGGCACTTGAGCTGTTTGTACTACCATCACTTTGTTTAATCATGGAAGTTCTGTGAGTAGAGCAATCCTCCTTACCAGCTGCAAGCTATAGACCATGCTGGGAAAATAATGTTTCCATCATCATCATATGGACACTACTTATCAATGACCTTGTCCCATCACTCCCTTACATACATGAATATTATTTAATCCTCACTTCTACCCAAAAGGGAGTGTTCTATACACGAACCACATAGACCACGAACCACAAGGTCTGTGGTTTGAGCCTGCCGGCTGCTCCAAGGAAAAAAAAAAAAGAGACTTTCTACTTCAGTGATGATTTATTAAAGCCCCAGAAAGCCTATACAGGGTCGCTTTAAGTCAGAACAGACTTGACTGCACTTACAACCACCACCACCACCAAAAGAGGTCTTACAACAATGTAGTAATGACTGAACCAGGATTCAAACTCAGATCTGTATGCCTCCAAAATCTATGCCACTTGTCCCAATGAATGTGACTCCAGAAGACACCTGGACTGGTAGAGACCCGAAGACGAGTGTGAGGACCAACTCAACTGGCCACCACAGTGAGCATTTACTAAGTCTCCAGTAAGAATGCTACCATCTCACGTACATCTATGGATGCAGTAGCTCAAAAAAGGGTACAAATCTTTACAGCAAGCATCATTCCCACCCCCTCCATACACAGAGTAGACAGGGATGAGCAACTTGGACATTAGCTACCCAAAATGGAGGGTCTACAAAGGCAAGAAGTGACTAGCTTACAAGCTTTCAAGAGGGAGCCTAATTCCAGAGGGCATGGAGGAAGGTAGAATCTCCACTGAGTAGTATCCAATCTGTCTGGGCGGGGCTGATGAAATGGATAAGTCTCTTGTGATACAATAGTGAATAATTACTATCAGGACTGACTGTGAGGGTTGGAAATGTAAAGGTAGACATTCTGTAGCAAAAGGAGGAGATTGACTTTGCAGTCTAGGAGCAGAGGTCCCTGGGACCATCAAGGAATAAGAGCGGAGTGTGGGACCCTACCCAGAGAAGCAGTGACGCCAGAGATGGAGGTAGAGATGATGATGTGAGAGATGGAGAGGCTAGGGACTCTAGACCCAGTGACGCCAGAGATGGAGGTAGAGATGATGATGTGAGAGATGGAGAGGCTAGGGACTCTAGACCCAGAGAGGGAGAGGGGCTGTGTGCTGATGACCAGGGGTCAGGCTTGCAGGGTATACCCTTTGGTTGGTTGATGATGCATGGAAGGGTTTGCAACCATGGCAAAGAAACAATATACGATAGGATGAATGTAAAGCTAATGTTCTCCCATGTAACCTATCACATAATTCACAATAAAACATAAAAAGAATCCTATCATCTCAAAAAAAGAAAAAGAATCTTAGCATTGTTAACCCTTCATGTCCTTGTCTGTAAAATGGGGGGGTGATAACTCCTAGGAAGATTGTGAGGGATCAGATAATACCCAGAACAGAGTTGCTATAAGACAAGCTTAGTGTCATTAATCTAATATTCTCACGGAAGTAACCAGAGGCATTTACTTTATAATAGCTGTTATTTTTATACTATTTATTGTTTTGCAATATTGTAAACTTGTCTCTTAATTTTTCTCTTTTAATAAGGTTTTATTTTAATTTCAACTAAAACAAAGAGGAATGATCAGTAGTTGGAAAATATGGTCTTGGTGATAGAAACGATGATGGAAATTACATGACAGAATTTTGGGAAACCAAATAGGTATTCATTGCAAATACCTTTTTTCAACTACATAAAAAGCTATTATACACATGAACCTCGCCAGATATAATACACAGGAATCAAACTGACTACATTGGTGGGGAGATGGAAAAGCTTAATATCATCAGCCAAACGAAGGTCAGGGGCCAACTGCGGAACATATCATCAACTGCTCATATGCAAGTTCAAGCTGAAGTTGAAGAAAATTAAAACAAGTCTATAAGTGCTACTGTAGACAATGAATAAGGAAGACCATAGAAGAATTAATTCATTTAAATTATGGTGTTGAAGAAGAAGATTATAAGTACCATTAACTGACAAAAGAACAAACAAATATGGTTAGGAAGAAGTACAGCCCGAGTGCTCCTTAGAAGTTAGGATGGTATGACTGCACCTCTCATACTTCGGACATGTTACCAGGAGGGACCAGTCTCTGGGGAAGGATATCATGCTTGGTAAAGTGGTGGGTCAGCTAAAAAGAAGAAGATCCCCAATGAAATGGATTCACACAGTGGCAGCAACAATGGGCCCAAACCTAACAACAGTTGTGAGGAAGGTGTAGGATTGGACAGTGTTTCATTCTGTTGTGCATAGGGCCCTATGAATCAGAGCCAACTCGATGTCACTTAACAACAACAACAACAAGAGGCAAAACATGACCTTGATTAAATTCCACCTGAATTTGAGACCGTCTCAGGAACAGATTCAAGGCATTAAACATTAATGAATGAAGACCAGAAGAATTGTGAAATGATATCAAGGAAATCATACAGGAAAAAAGCAAAACGTCTTTAGAAAGACAGGAAAGAAAGAAAAGGCCAAAATAGATGTTAGAAGACATTCTGAAACTTGCTCTTGAGCATAGAGAAGCTAAAGAGACTGGAAGAAATGAGGAAACAAAAGAAATGAACAGAAAATTTCAAAGGGCCACTCAAGAAGACCAAGTCAAGTATAATAGTGAAGTGTGCAAAGATCTGGAGTTAGAAAACCAAAAGGAAGGGACATGCTCAGCACTTCTCAAGCCGAAAGAACTGAAGAAGAAAAAAATCAAACCTTGGGTTGCAACATTGAAGAATTCTATGAGCAAAATGGGAGTCCTGGTGTGGCATTGTATGATAAGCACTAGACTACCAGCTACTCATTGGAAACCCGATACAGGGTTTCTATCAGTCAGAACTGAATCTACAGCACTAACAACATGAGCAAAATATTGAATGATACAGGAAGCATCAAAAGAAGATAGAAGGACTGTACCAAAAATAATCAGATGATGAGCAGCCATTTCAAATGGTACCATATCCTCAAGAACCAAAGCATTACAGTGGTATTACATGGGGATTTACCTTTCCTGCAAACACCACTATGAGTGTGGTGGAGCATACAGTGGGAGAAATGATGAAAACTTCTTAGATTTTATCAAACATCTTAAGGCAATGAGTTGCTGGGCCTGGGGCCTCAGACCCTAGTCTCAGGGGACACCACGGTCAATTGGCATAACATAGTCCACAAAGACAATATTCTACATTCTACTTTGGTGAGTAGCATCTGGGATCTTAAAACCTCATGAGTAGCCATCTAAGGTGCACCTCTTGGTCTCTCCATATGCAGAAAGAAGAAACGTGATGAGAATTGAATATGCTTGGAATCAATTTGTCCAATGGAACATGTGAACATGTCTCTACTGCCATGAGACCAAAAGAACTAGCTGGTGCCTCACCACTACTACCAACTCCTCTGAAATGAATCATATTAGAAGGTCCCAGATAGACTGGTAGAAAATATGGCACAAAACTCAAAATTAATTTTAAAAAGGACCAGGCTGACTGGCCAGAAAGAGACTGAGACTATGGCCCTTTACCACCCTTCAGATCTCGAAAGGAACTCACTCTCGTGACCCAGTTTTCAGCCCAGTAGTAGATAGGTATATAGTGGGGGACAACAACACTAGTAAGGTGTGCTCACCATGGAATGGTCAATCATTCAAAATCAAAAGGGTTAACAATTACTTATGGACAAAGTTGAGAAGGAATGGAAATATGAACCACAGGGAGGAAGCAAGATTGTATGGAGGGGATCACAATCATTGAGAGGAAACTAAGTATGATTTTTTTTTTTAAAATATAAAACAGATGATTTTGTCTGTAACCAATTCACAACAAAAATTGAGGGGTAAGAAATAAGCAGTGGTACTGAAGGAAGAAGTCCAAACTGCACTGAAAGCAATGGCAAGATGCAAGGCTCCAGGAATTGACGAAACACAGATCGAAGGGATTCAACAAACTGATGCAGCGCTAGAGGCTCTCAGTCATCTATGACATGACATTTGCAAGACAGCTACCTGGTCAACTGAAAGAAATCCATATCTGTGCCTTTTCCAAAGAGAAGGTGAGCCAATGGAATGTGAAAGTCATCTAACAATATCATTAATATCACATGCAGAAAAAACTTTGCTGATAATAATTCAAAAACAGTTGCAGCACAGATAACTAGATTTATTCTATAAATAAAGAAAAAAAAAAGCACCTAAAATGAATGACATAAGGAACTAAT